TCTGACTCGTGGTGGTTGTGGCTGTTCATTTGATTTTGTCTGACCTGTTCCTTGTGTACACCCAGTCCAGGAATCCTGCCCTGGTGACGGTGACGAACCTTCGGGGCTTCCAAAACCATCAGTCTTTCTGACAAACTGGACCACACCACTGCCAGACTCCAACGCCTCAACATGCCGAAACCAACAGTGTCCTCCTGGACATACAGCCGCCGCCTCGGCCCACACAGGGCCCCCCCCCCCCCACATTCAGGCTCCTCTGCCCAGCGCCTGCCTTCACTTCTCTGATATTCCCTGATTGTCCCGCAAATCCCAGACCAAGGCGGCACAGGAAGCCTTCCCTGCCCGCTCGGAGCCCCGCCCCCCTCCCCACCCCAGGCTGGGTCCAGCTCCCTCCTCAGAGCTCCTACAGGCTGCTGTGTGGCGTTCTGTCACCGTCCCCGCCCTGGGTGGCAGCCATTTGGTCCCTGGAACAGGTGCCTCCTGGACCTGGGACGCTGCTCAGGCACAGGGCAGTCTCACCCGTTCCCTCCTAGGGGCTGGCAGGCTGCTTGGCTATTGAAAACACAAAAGCCCAGTTCAAATGCCACGAAAATCTGTTCTCAGTGCTTTGAGCAATAATGTACGTGGAACCTATGGCAGCACTTTTCTGCTCGGTTACTATCACACACACCAGCTATGCCCTGAGATGCATTTTATTTATTTATTTATTTATTTTGACAGGCAGAGTGGATAGTGAGAGAAAGAGACAGAGAGCAAGGTCTTCCTTTTGCCGTTGGTTCACCCTCCAATGGCCGCCACGGCTGGCGCGCTGCAGCCGGCGCACCGTGCTGATCCAAAGCCAGGAGCCAGGTGCTTCTCCTGGTCTCCCATGGAGTGCAGGGCCCAAGCACTTGGGCCATCCTCCACTGCACTCCCTGGCCACAGCAGAGAGCTGGCCTGGAAGAGGGGCAACCGGGACAGAATCCGGCGCCCCGACCGGGACTAGAACCCGGTGTGCCGGCGCCGCTAGGTGGAGGATTAGTCTATTGAGCCATGGTGCCGGCAGGATTTTATTTTTAAAGAGCTGTACTACCCCCTTCAACTGATAGAGACTTGTCACCACTGCGCACATGGGAAAGGCTGATGTCTGGTTTCAAAGTCAAGGCCCACAGAGAGAGAAAGAGCACCGAGCTGCCCCAAAGCAGCCAGGCACAATCAAGTTCTTTAAGGACATGTTCTCATGGAATTCGCAAGCAGTGAAGCAGGTATCCGCAAAGCTACGCCAAGGGAATTAGTAACTTGTCTAAGATCACCAGGAGGACGACAGAAGCCCAGCCTGCATGTGTGGGATGTTCTTGCTTCTCCAGGGTGTCTACACTGACTTGAGCGATATTCGTCCCGAGGTATGAGAGGCAGCCCCGAGGGGGTCTGGTGGGGGCACTTCTGAATGCTGCTATTGAATGAATGGGGGCACAGCGCCTCACTGCCACGTGTCTCCATGCGCAGTGCACAGACACCCGTAGCTTCAAATCTGAGCACACACACAGAAAAGGAGACTCCAGAGACAGATGGGAGGGGCGAATCTTTGCCAAGTCTATAACTTTAGAATCGGCAAAGGTGATTTGACTAGTATTTAGGGTTCTTGAAATGTGATCAACAATACAGATCGATGGATCGATCGATCGACAGATGATGGATAGAATGGCAGGGAGGCAGGGAGGAGGTTGCGGGAACTGGCTTGTGTGTTTACAAAAGCTCACAGGTCCCACGATCCGCCAGGAGCAAGCTGGAGAAGCCGGCGAGCGTGTGCTGTGATTCCCTGTAGGTCCACAGGCCGAGGAGCGGGGGACGGGCAGTGTCAGCCCTGCCTCCGAGTCGCCAAGCCCCAGAACGAGGAGCAAGAACGGCCGGGGACGGGGAAGGCGACGACTCCGCTCGGGCAGCGGCAGTGCCTTCTCCTTTCCTCTGCCTTTTTGTTCCGTCCGTGCCCAGGAAGGCTTGATGATCACCACCCACCTGCCTCCTTCAGTTCCCCTCTCCAAATACTGATCTCTCTGCAAAACACCTGCACAGACACCCCAGAAAGGAGGTCTCCCCACGCCGCGGGCGTTCCTTTGCCGGGCCAAGCTGACGCATCAAGTTAGCCCTCCTCAGTGAGTCAGAGGATCAGAGCAACTTGAAGGCATCTGCTGGAATTCGGTGCATGGCTCCAGCCAGCTGTGCGGTAACGGCGACCGCGCCCTTTTCTGCCCATCCTGTCCCTCGCACTGCCCCAGGACAGTTGACATCTATTCACTAACGTCCTGGTGACTCAGCGTTGGAGGGACATAGGCCATTTATCGCGCACCAGGGCGAGAAGGCTTTTGCTAATTCATGAATGACACACACATGACTCATCAGTGAAGAACTCTCCCTCCCAGCACCTCCTCCGAGGCGCCACGCGCTGCCCTTCTGGTCCACACAGCCCGGGGCTGCAGCCACAGCGCCCAGGGCCACAAGCCTGCATCCCCGAGTGGCTGAGCCGCTGGGACCCCCGCACAGTCCCTACCGTATTTTTTGTCTCCTTGTCCTTCCTTGTGTTGTGATGCAGGTCAAAGCTACGCACGCAAATATAGCTCATGGGCCCCAGCTGGACGACCCCAACAACGTCTGGCTCGTTCCTGCCCACCGGTTCGTCCCCATTCCTTCGGCCCCTCCAGGGTGGACTCCCGGCGTCCGACTCCGTACCTGTTCACGGTGTGTGGTTTCCTTTGCTGTTTCATTCCAGGCTTCTCACTACCCAGAGGAGGACTGAGAAGTCTTTGCTCTTCCGATTCCCCAGCGGAGCGCTGCTCGCCGGTCCGTGGACTCCCGGGATTTAGGGGATTACGACAGAGCCGGTTCGCTCAGTAAGACGCGCTCTCCAGAGATGACGTCTCGCACGACGTTTTCATTCCCTGCAACTAATACCTGGCTTTTTTTTTTTTTTTTAATGGTTGAGTTTTTTTGTGATTTTCTCACTAAGGCGACTTTGGATTCTTTACGAGCTCATCGGTCTCCTCCTAAGAAAGCCAGCTGCATCAGGAGTTCTGTTGGTCCACTTATTCTACAGGAGTCCCTTCCAGGGTCTCGCAATGTACCCTGATCGGAACCGGAACCAGCACCAGCGATGGGCTACACCACCAGGCAGAGCTCACGCCCGTCCGGCATCCGCGGGAGCCCAGCTTTCCCGCTCCCCTCCTTGACTCACGCCTTCGTGTCAGACCCACCCCATTGTCCCACGGCTCGAGAAGAGGTGGCTGTGAGGTCCGCTCCTGAGACACGCGCCGCGGGAGAGGCACAGCTCGTGCGTGTTGGCGGCCACGTCTGCCCTGCCTGCCAGCATCCGAGAAACCCACAAGCCCTCTAGGTTTTCAGCTCGCCTGACCTGCTGCTCTTCTGGGGACGCCCACTGCGCCAGGAGTGTGGGGGTCTGTTTCCAGCCTTCTCACGGCGCCCTGGCACGTTCTTGCAGTTCGGAAACCCATGTATTGCAGGTTGTTTGAGGATCTTTTTCCTCTATGCCTTTGCTGTTCTGTCTGGTGTGGAGGTTTCTGGGCTGGTAGGCTAATTTTCTTATCTTTTCTCTCACATTTTCTTCTTATCTTTTTGCTCCACTTTATAGGAAAGTACAAAGACCAACCTTCCAATGCGTCTTGAGAGCTTTGCACTTTCCATCTTTAACCTCTAAAGGCCTGACGCTGTTCTCGGAATTAAAGGTGGACGTCTTGTTTTACACTGGCACAAAGCCTTCCCGTCCCTCCGCAAAAACTGACCCAAGTGAGTGTGATGTCTCCAGAGCCTTTGCTTACCTCGAGTTTTGCCTTTCCCCTTTGACGCTTGCGGCCGATTTCCCGGGTGTCTGACCGCCCGTGGTGGTCGCTGACCCAGCTGGGAGCTGCTAACCCCTGAGTGGAGCTTGCGGACCACGAGCTGCGTTCCGAGCTGCCACGGGCGACCTCCGATGTCACAATCACTGGGTCCTGGCCCCTCGGCCGTCGCCGGAATCTCCTGACGATGGCAGGGAGGCACCGTTCTCTGGTCCCTTTTAGATCACCTTGTTGGTTTCAGTCCAATATCCCAACCCGGGGGGGCTTGGGTTTAGCTGTATTCAGTGGCCGACCTTTCCATGACCACTCGGGGCAGGGAGGGACCGCCGTCCAGTTGGGTAGGGCGTGTAGAATGGCCGGAGTCCTTCGTATTTCCTAAGAGGCTTGCTGCCAGTTCATCCTCCTTCACCCTCCACTGCCCCCTCACGGACGGCAGGTGCTGCGCAGTCCTGAGCCGTTGGGGATGCTCCGGTCTCTGTTCTCGGCACTCCCCATGACAAAATTCATGGCTGGGATCCCAAGTGACTTACACTCTACCTCGTCCTCCCAATGCCCCCTAATGCCCGGCTATGGTCTCTGCTTGGTTTTCCTCATTCTTATGGATTTGTCATGTTTCAAATATTCCTGATTGTCATTTGAGGAGAGCTTTGGGAGGGAGAAAGCGTAACTGCAAACGCGTGTGCTTCATCCATCTCAGCACACACGCTCCAGCCCCTGTCTTCTGCAAGTCTTCCACAGACCATGTAAGGCAGAGACAGCTCAGCGGGGACCAGCACAAGGCCACAGGGCACGGCGTTTGGGCCCCCGTGCAGGTGTCCGCTCTGTGACTGGCGAGAGGTCCTCGTGCAGGAAACCGGCAGGCAGCAGCGCTATGCACGTGGTCAGGAGGCCACTGTGACCCCTCTGACCCGAGACACCAGGGACAGGACATCCCAGTCTCCCCAAGAGCAGGGTGGGGTGGGTGCAGGCAGGAAGGGGGGCCACCCTGACTCGGCGACAAGCCAGGAGAATGCCAGTCCCGTCATGAACTTATCCTGACCTTCACCACCTCCGCGCGCTGCCTCTTCCAGACGACTTCAGGGACGAGGACCCTCCCCCCGCCGGAACAGCGCTCCCCGCACGCTCTCCTGCCGGCCGCCGCGCCCGCGCCCCCCGCGCCCCCCTGCCGGGTACCTGTGGATGATGCGGTAGCGCTGCAGGTACTCCAGGGCCAGGGCCAGCTCGCAGATGTACAGCTTGACCGCCGCCTCTGTGAAATGGACGCTCTGCTGCAGGTGGTAGCGCAGGTCGCCCCCCAGCAGCAGGTCCACCACCATGAACATGTCTTCCTCATCCTGGAAGGAGTACCTGGGGGCAAGGAGGGACGCAGAGGGTCAGGGGCGGGGAGAACCAGCCACATCCTCGACATCACTGCCCCCATTCTACAGAAGCGCAAACTGAGGCCCAGAGCGCAGCACTCACGCTGCCCGAGACCTGGTGCCACGGGAGAGGAGTGGAAGGCTTCCCTCTGTATCGTCGGGGCCAGCGCATTCCCTATATAGCAAAGGAGGACTGAGCGTGGGTCAGTACTCAGAAAGACACATTCAAATAGCAGCACTGGACACGAGCGCAAGCTTTAGTCTGATGTCCTCAGGTTCCGCAGAGGCCAGCCTGCAGCGATGCACCTCTGCCCCCCGCAGCGCCCGTGCCCCACGCGAGCACTGGGCTGTGGGACTGCACACTGCTGGTCGTGGCTGGAACGCACACACAGGCTGTAACTCGGGTGTGCAGCTCCAGGGATGGCCTGGTGCAGGCGGATGCCACAGGAGAGGGGTTCCTAACCTACACGAGGGAGCCCCAGTGTTGGAAGGGGCCTACACGCCCCCTGCTGCACAGACGGGGGTCCAGGAGACCGGAAGTGGCTGGCCAGCGGTCACATCGCAGTCATCATTTGCAGTTGTTCAAATCAGGGCCAGGAAGAGGGCAGGCGTTTTCTGAGCTCTCGAATCACGAATGTTCCAGTCGTTTCTGGAATGGCCACCTTGGGCAGCAGCTGGGCTGTGCGCTGGGGACACTGGGACCAAGAAACTCAGGGCACAGGTGTGCACAGCTGCCCACAAGGCAGGGGCTGGTGGTCGGGGGCCTTTCTGGGGAGCAGGCAGCTGGTTCTCCTGCAGCTGGGGCTGGGGCACAGCACCTGGGGGAACCTTTGCCAGTGAGGGCCATTCCAGGCCAGGGTCACACAGTGGGGCCCGGCACGAACCCAGGCTGGGAGGTGCATTCGTAGCCCGTTAGCCCTAAGCTGACCCCGCAGTGTGGGAGTCAGCGCCGACAGGGGCGGGCATGAGTGACAGTGCTGGTCTTTGTGGGCGAGGCAGACACAAGGGCAGGACGGCACGCAGGGTGCTCTGAGGGCAGCAAAGGCCCAGGACTACCCCTGAGCCTGCCCAGAGACCCCCAGTACTTCTGGTTTGGGGACAAAGGACCCCATTTCTGAAAGTTTCAAGGCAAACCATTGTTTGCCCAGAAAACTTTATTTTTAAAATTTTAGCCCACTTTTATTATATTTGACCAACCAAGAGTTTTTAAAAAACACACAGAAAAGTCTATTGTAACCTAATGTCTGTTCTATTTCAGCGATCTGTTGGCTTGTTACCATGCCAACATCAGCCACATCAACGAACACTTCGTGAGCACCTCCATGTGCCAGGTGGCCAGCGGGCGAGGTCTCAGAGCAACAGGCTGGGGAGAAAGCAGGATCAGTTAGCCAAGGAACACATTCAGAGAGTGACGGGGCCAGGAAGCAAGGGGGTCATGGAAAAGGGGCGGGGCTAATTTAGAAGGGGGTCTGGGAGGCCTGCTGAGACCCCCTGAGCTGGCACAGCCACAGGTAGAGACAGCTGTCTGGGGCATGAGGGCTCCCGGGCAGGACCAAGCTGGGAGCATCTGGTGGTCACCAGGAGGGGTGTGGCCAGCGGCTGGCTGGGAGACAGTAGGGCCCGGGGCGGGGTGGGGTGGGCCCGAGGAAGGCTCTGGATCCCGGCTCCGGGGAAACAGAGAAGTCAGCCGTGAGTTCAAGCTGAGGAGTGGCCTGTGCTTCTTCCTCTTCCACAAAGCAATGGGTGGGGGAAGCGGAGCAAAGCCAGTGGACACTCGCTGAGGGCCTCCCCTGGCGCTGCTGGCCTGGGAGAACCTCTGTCCACCCAGCAGGGTCAGGCTGTGTCCCCCTGAAGCTCCCAGATTCCTATGTCCACGGTCACTGGAGGTGGAACCTTCAGGAACAACTTAGAGCTGGGTGAGGACACGGCGGGTGGGGCCGCCAGGGTGGCGCTGGTGGCTTCGTACAAGGAAGAGGGAGCGGGGCTGCACACGTGTCCTCCCCCTGGGTGAAGGCCCAGTGGGGGGCCCTCGCCAGGGGCTAGCGCCACGCCCTCATGCTCCCCACATCCTGGGGCGTGAGCCCAAGAAACCGCTATTGCAGACAAGTTACCCGGCCTGTTGTTGTTTCATTGTCCTGATCCAGTTCTGGATGCCGTCAGCTGTGCCTGCCTGCCCCCAACTCAGGGGCCGCGTACAGAAAACTCGGCCGGTGCCCTGCGTGCGACTCCTGTGAGATCCTCCTTCCCCGCTCAGGGGTTCCTGGTGCTGTTAGGGGCTTCATGCTCCTCTTCCTCCATAGCAAGCGTCCGGCATGAGCAGGAGGCCCCGCGCCCTGGCCACCAGCGGCGGGCCAGGCGCGGCCGCGTGTTCCATTGGATGCTCGGGTGCTCCCTGGGGCTATGCAGATGCGAAAGAAAAGTCCCCTCTCCAGGGTCAACGGGCCAAGTGGCTGCCCAGAACCCTGTTACCCAAACGCGTGGATCAGACCGACCTGCAGAGCCACGCAGGGCAGAGAGCTGTCCTGAGAGAGGGGGGCCGGTGGAGGTGCTGGCTCCAGCCTGGCCAGCACACAGACCACCCACGAATGTCGTATTTCCATGGGCTGTGAGAGTGTTTTTTTTTTTTTAAAGATTTATTTATTTATTTGAAAGTTAGAGTTACAGAGAGGCAGAGGCAGCGAGAGAGAGAGAGAGAGAGAGAGAGAGAGAGGTCTGTCATCTGCTGGTTCACTCCCCGAGATGGCCACAATGGTGGGAGCTGCGCCGATCCTAAGCCAGGAGCCAGGGGCTTCTTCCAGGTCTCCCACGCGGGTGCAGGGGCCCAAGGACTTGGGTCATCCTCCATTGCTTTCCCAGGCCACAGCAGAGAGCTGGATTGGAAGTGGAGCAGCCGAGACTTGAACCGGCGCCCACATGGGATGCGGGCACTGCAGGCGGCAGCTTTACTTGCTGTCACAGCGCCGGCCCCGAGTGGGTTGTTTTCACTTAAGCTACTTTACCTTGTGCTTCTGAGTTCACTGTTTTCTGTTGCTATAGTGCAGTGCCTGGTGCTGGGTCATTTATTAAAAAAAAAAAAAGCTGTCTATTTGGCTCAGGGTTCTGGGGGGTGGGCTCTGAGAGCACGGGGCGGGCACTTGGCAAGCATCTCGCGTGGCCTCCTGACAGGGCCGAGGCCTCACACGGTGAGACGGAGCGAGCCCACCAGCTCGGGGCTCTCCTCTTCCTAACAGGCGGGGCGGGGAACGCCCAACCTGTGGGGCACGCAGAATCACCTGGGACCCCAAATTCCACCCATCTACAGCGGGTTGACGGCTAAGCCGATAGATTCAGGGGGCCTGTAAGTGATGGTAAAAATGTCCAAATGGCCCTTGGCAGAAAAAAGGTTCCCCAACCCTAGTATGAAGCCCCCAGCCCCCTCCCGGGAGCCCCAGCCTCATCACCTCATTCAACCCTGATGCCCCCGAAAGGCCTCGCATCCGACACCACTAACTCAGGGTCCTGAGGATTAACTTTGCAACACGCGCACTTCGGGGGGTGCGCTCCCACCCCAGGTGAACTGAAACAGTAACCTGAGACCACGTTCCGTGTACCTGCGTTCCGCGTATCCGCTCCTGCAGAGCTGCCCAAAGCAAAACCACAGGACTCAAGGACCACACGCCTCCTGCAGCTGCTGTTTGTATTCCAATGGATGCTGGACTATTGCAACATTATGTTCATAACCGCTGCGTTCTGCTGTCTTCAGCTCACAGCTAAACTGTCGTCTCATTCAGCATTCCATCCGAACTCACGGGAGGAGCAAAATGAATTATCAGGGGAAACTTGTGGGCTGCGATGAATTCTAAAGCGGAAGCCCCAGATGCAAAGAACAATGATGGAAGCGGTAGTTCTGGAATTCGGGTTGGGCTGTTTTTGGCTACACATCCATACCTTGCCCTGTGCTACTGACTTGCACTCCCTAGGAAACCTGATGTGAGCTGGAGAGGAGAGGACGGCCTTTTATTTGTCTCTCTGTAGCTGTCTGCTGTCCACGGCTCTGTGCATTGTCCACTGTGCTGCTGCTTGTAATTATGTTCTCACAATAGGGCTGCACGCTGCCCCAGGACTGGGCAGAGCCCAAATGGGAAAGCTGCGTTCCCTCACAGTAACCCCGACCCAGGGAGGGATCTGGAGAATTGGGCGAGCAGGTGGTGGGTTCTGAAGACACAAATCACAGCCCGGGCATTGCCATAGAACAGCACGAAGAAAGACATTTCTGCATTGACTTTTAAAAAAAATTAGTAATTTCGTACTTTTCTCCAGAAAGGATTCAAGTGACTTGCAAAATCCATACGCCGTCTTGCAATTTAAAATAAGCCAAAGATTAAACTGAGGAATAAAATGGAAAAGGAAGCAGGAAAAAAATGCCTGATTTATGGGCGAAGATGCCGTGTGCTTGCCCTGGCTACGAACGGGCTCCCGTCTTCCCCAGCAGCCCGAGCGAAGGCAGCAACAGGATCGCTTCCACGGTTCCGGGTTATTGTGGAAACACATGATCTCTTCCCGGCCCTGGAAGCACCGGGAACCGTCTTCCACTGGCTCCTGCCGACGATGGCACGCTGTCAGCGTGAACAGTCTACCTCCACGATGGAACTCCAGCAGAGCAGCAGGCAGAGCGGGACTGCTCTCCGGTGCCCCTCGAGTTGGCTGACGGCATGAAAAGTCCGGTCTCACAAAAGCAGAGCTGCACAGGGCCACGCAGGTGGGGTCTTGTGCGTCACGTCCCTGAGGGGGTCTGGATGCTGGTGCCACGTCCAGGCAAAGTCCCCAGATGTTCCACCCCAGCTCCCCATGTGACACGCTCCTCACTCCGGGAGGGGCACCCCCTGCTCCTGCCCTCACTCCCTCCGCAGCTGACAGCAAGGTTACCACCTGCGAGCACTTCTGGTCCCCGGGGACACTGGACGGTTTTGGTGGCCTCCCGTGGCCAGGGATGCTGGCAAATGCCCTACA